GGACCCCAGTTTTCTCTACCATGTCACAGCACTTCAGGAAAACAATTGCTCATTACTGTTTTTCTCGAAACCCTGAACTTCAAATTCGAAAGTCATCTGCGCTGTGGTCCCCCTCCCAGTTGGCAGATGTAGACAGTCCTGCTATTTCTTTTCTTTAGCTTTTACCCTGATAACCACTCTTAGAAAGAAAAGTTGTGCATTGTGACAGATAAAGAAGCTGGAGTTTAGACAGTGAGAGAGAGAATGTTTTGTAGATAGTAATACCTAAAGTGGGACTCCAAGATCTTTTCAGTGCCTCTTCAGTACTTTTTCTAAGAACTGAAATGAAAACGGTGAAATGTCAGGTAATAGAAAAGTTATATTGGACAAGAACTGCATCTCTTCAAGTCTTATCAGTGGATCTAGCATGACATAAGAGGAAAATCTTTGTCAGTGCATCTAGCTGGTCCTAAGCTTACACCATGAAAACATGGCCAAGTCAAGTAATTTTTTTAAAATTGAAATCATTGGGATAACATCCTAGCTAATAATAGAGTGATATGCAAATTAACCATCCCTCTGCTACACCTGCAATTCATGTCCACCAGCCAATCAGAGCAAGTATGCAAATTAACCCAACAAAGATGATGGTTAATTTGCATAGACGGCGGGAGGGAGGAGTGAAGACTGAAGACAGCATAGAAAGAAGAGGGAGGGAAAGTGGAAAGCAAGGCAGCTGCAGCTGCTGGAGGGAAAGCACTGCCCACCTTGCCCAGCCCTGCCCTGCCCCGCCCTGCCCCGCCTGCCACAGAGGGAGAGGTAGAGGGGGACAGGAGAGGTGGTGGTGGTGGGAGGGAAGCCCTCCAGAAGTCTTGCAGGAATATTTCTGCAACAGGTCCCTGGTTGATTAATAAAATTATACAGATTTCAGGGATATAATCTTATAACACATCATCTTTATATTGTGTTGTGTGTTCATCATTCCAAGTGAAGTCTCCTTCCATCACCATTTATCTCCCCTTTACCCTCCTCCAACTGGCCTTTCTCTCTGGTAATCACCATCCTGTTATCTGTTTACGAGTTGTTTTTTGTTTCTTTGCTTAATTTCTTCACTCTTTTCACCCACCTCCCAACCTTTTCCCCTCTGATAGCTGTCAGTCTGTTCTCTGTATTTATGAGTCTGTTTCTGTTTTGTTTGTTCGTTTATTTTGTTCATTAAATTCCACATCTACCAGTGAGTGGGCAGTCCTGCTATTTCAAGGCCCCTTGGTCTGTGTAGTTCTTCCTCCGTTTCCCCCGCAGGGTTCCACCTCTGTCTACGTTTGGCCTCTGCAGTGAGCTGTTCGTGGGTGGGAGGATAGAGACAAAATTTCCACACTTCCTCCAGTGAAGGAAAGTTGGGAGTGCGACCCTTTATAGAGATCTCACTTCATAGTGTGTTATCTACATAAGCATTCCTTTCAGGGTGCCAGGATTCATTGTCACGTTTCTGCACATAATTACGATCCAAAGTGCGGCAGGTCCCTTCTCTGCCTCAAGTTGTACTGTGAAAAGTCCTTTCTGTGATTTAATCACTTAGTATATGCCATCCCAGTAAGGGGGTTGGGTGGGAAGAAGAAGTAGTAGTAATTGCTATCGACATGATCAAGCCCCTGTTTTAACTTGTCATCTTTGAAGTTTACCCAGACAAGCCCACCTACCTGTTTCTTCGTTTTGTGAACACAAGGTCGGAATAGCCTGAATCAGGGCCAGATAAAACTTCAGGGCTGGATAATATGTACTCCAATGGTTTTGTGGCCAGATAGTCTCCGTGGCTGTTCTTCATTTGCTGAGGTGGTACAGTGAAAACCTACCCAGAGGGCCATGGCCAGAGTCCTGGAAAACTTTATTCACAGAAGCCGGCTGAAGTTGGCCTGCTGTTGGAGTTTGCCATCCCTGGTTTATACTGGGAAACTCAATTTTGGTGTTTGGACCAGAGCATCAGAGTCCAGGGATGCTGAAAGATATGGGTTTCTAGGCCTCACCTTCGGAGCTTCCATGAATAGCTTGGAACAGGGGAATATGTATTTTTAGAAGTTCCTTAATTGATTCTACTGCCCAAATTATTAAAACCATGGTTCATTCTGCTTTTAAAATTTATATGTGTGCTGACATACACACAAATGGACACGTGGTTTTATGTGTGTATTTAAAAATAATATTAAAAAATGACACGATTGTGTGCAAACCATTCTGCATGTTGCTTATTTCTTTGCCCTTTTCATCGAGGTGTCTCTCTGTTAGTGACATCCAGGAATGGATATAATAAAGGATTTCATCCATTGTAATCTATGGTACCATTTTTATTTCTTTCATCATGTTGCTGTCTTTTTATTTCATTTTTGGAGGTTAGTAGATTTTTAAAACGTTTTGATGGAAGAAGATCATCAGTCTGTTCCTTTAAAGGGTGATTTTGCTTCAGGGGCACTGGCAATGTCTGCAGACCATTTTGGTTGTCACAACTGTCATTGTTGAAGGGAGGACGTCTCCTGGCATCTGGCAGGTAGAGATGAAGGATGCTGCTAAACACCCACAATGCACAGGGCAGCCCTCCCACCAAAGAACTATCCAGCCCAAAGAGTCAGGAGTGCCCAGTCTGAGAAATCCTGCTTGGTGGCTTTTTTGTTCCTTGCTTAACAAGGTAACCTCTTCCTATGATACCAATATCGATCTCTGTAGTAAAAAGTTCCTGAATTGATTTGCTGCTCAGAAGAATTGCTAAGACAGTGGCCCATCCTACTTATTTCTTCACACCCCACACAAATCCCCCTCAGTTATTTCTCTTCTGTGTTTACATCTTACTGCTTACTGCTCTATAAATGCCACGCATCTCTGTGTCCCTCAGTGACCTGTGCAGCCTGGCTCATGTGACGTGCTCCATCTGTGACTGCAGGTCCTCCTGGGTGGCATTGGGTTTGGACTCCGTAGACATGTCTCCGTTTCCCTGACTGACTCTGCCCACAGAGCATGGGTATAAGTGAGGGTGGGGGTGGTCTCAGGCTAGCGCTTTGCTTCTCTGGACTTTCCGAAAGCAGTGTCACCGAAACCAGAGTGGCTATCAACAGAATCTGAAATGCTCTCGGATGGAGGAGGCCCTGGGTGTCCCTTCACTTAATGTGTGAGGAATGCATGTCAGGTCACTTCTATTGAAGAATTAATCTGATGCAACAAATGCACAGCATTGAATAAATGAGCTTGTTGGGTAGCTGTAAGCAGAAAACCATTAACCCCAGGGCTTTCTCCTTTCTCTTTTTTTATAGCTGAAATTACAAAGTCTTAATCATTCTCCTTCTCCCCCATCATTAGAAGCTAGAAATTATAGCTGAGAAAATATTGCCTGTTAAATATTGGGTATCCCCAAAGTCAAATCTATTAATTATGACATTTTTGCCTCATGCATTTTGATAGTTTGGTTATTTCCTGCTTATAGTTCAAAATTAGTGGGATCCAATAGCAGTAGTGACCTCCACACTGGACTTCCACTTTGTATTGTAAAATGAGGTGGAGAGCCATGCAAAGTCTGGGAGGAAAGCATTCCAGGAAGAGAGCATAGCAGGTGCAAAGGCCCAGAGGTAGGAATGACCTTGGCAGAGTCCAGGGACAGAAAGAAAACAGGGTGGGGACAGTTCCAGGGAGAAGAAACATACATGGGAAGAGAGGACACCAGGTATGAAGGTGTCAGATCGAGGAGGGCTTTGTCTATCTGGAAGGAGTTGGGTTTTACTTTGAGTTGATGAAGATTTTAGATGTTTAAAATCATTTACAGTTTAAATATTCTCTTCAGATACCACTCCACCTACTCTTTTCTGATATTCTGTGAAGGGATTTCTAAGTGATAGCAGAGAATTGACAATGCAGTATTTTTGAACTTCATTTTATTCAATTCAAAATCCCTTAACATTCCTGAAGGAGTTAGTTGGACATTGTTTGATGAGGGTAAGTAGCATAATGAGTAGCCGTTTTTCCATGCAGAATTATGCATGAACCATTTCTATAGGAGAAACTGGGGTTCCATTTCTCTGTGGTCTGGATTTTCCTGAGTTCTGTTTTGTGATCAGCCCTGAGAAGCCAGGGGGGCATCAGATAGAGTCTCACTTTCGGTCATCACAGAGGCAAATGCTAGTGGAATGAGTGTGGAGAACACTTCTGAACCCTGGAGGGTCTCCAGAGAAACGCTGTTTCATTTCTCATTGCTCTGTAGCATCACCAGGTAATAACAAGTGGCCATTCAGAGGGCAGCAAAGGACTCTGGCTAAACAAGTAGAGCAGGAACACAACTTAAAGACATGCAAGTGAATTTTATCTTCTGTATCCAGCAGGGTTACATTTCTCTGCAATCCCCATCCAAAGTGATGAGCTAGGAGCTTCTATAAGATTCTGCTTAATGTGCTTCACCATCATGCTCTCTACTGGCTTGCAATGGTCGTGCGCACTCATCCTTTTGGAAGCCTGTAATTAAAAAAAACAGCATCTTAAAAAGCTTTGTTCATCAGGTAGGAAACAGGGAGACCGAGGTAAGCGCATCTTCAGGAGAAGAGACACTGGGCATGAGGCAGTGTTGTGGTGGTCCAGGATGTGCAAAAGGAGAGTTCACTTTAGATCCCTACTTTCATTTGTCATGACACGCAGGTACAAGCATCGAAATTGACATTTTCTTAATAAGCCTCAATTTTAACGATTTTTGCCTTAGAAAGTTTCTCTAAACAGCATGTTCCTGAATTCAACATTGCATAGGGCCTTGGTTTGGGAGGCTCTTCCCCAATCATGTATCCGTCCTTGGGGGAGGCCTGTTACCTGTGGAAAGGCTAACGTTGGGATGACCTTGGGAGGCTGCCCGCAACAACACAAGTCATTAAGGACATGCGTTCCCCAGGAATAGCGTTTCCACGGGAGCAGCAGCTCTGAGACACGAGCTAATTTCCCAGCGATGGCACTACTTTTCTTACGAGGGAGTAATTGACCCATTTATGGTCTCGTTTCAGATTGTGGCGGATCCCTGTGCCAGCAACCCTTGTCACCATGGCAACTGCAGCAGCAGCAGCGGTGGCTACCTCTGCATTTGCACGGAAGGCTATGAAGGTCCACACTGTGAGCAGGCACCTCCCAGCCTCCAGGCCTCTGGCTGGACTGAGCCCATGGCACCTAGACAGCTGGAGCCAGTCGCTGCTACCCAGGAGCCTGATGCCATCCTGCCCCGCTCTCAGGCAACCGAGACCCTGCCCACATGGCAACCGAAAACGGGGCAGAAAGTTGTAGAAATGAAATGGGATCAAGTGGAGGTGAGAATGTTTTGTTGCATACGTTTTTACATAAGACATTGGTAAGGCTGAACGAATTCCCGTAGTTCTAATTACACAACAAAAACTGGAAAACCTTTAAATTGCCCAGTGAACAAAACAATGTGCCCAATCTTAGTCCCTCTGCGCTTGTTTGGAAAATCTCTCTTGGTTACAGAGATGAGACATTTGGATTGTGATTGTTTTGTGCGCTTCAAAGGAGGAATCAAGAAAAGAAAAGGAACGTAATTATTCTGGGGACTAAAATCCGTATACATTTCTGTGAGACAATCTTATTTTGGGGTAAATGGCCAATGAAGAGTCATAAACATGAATGCAACCAAGACCCGCCTTTACTGACCTAATTTTACTCGTGGAATTGTAATTGGTCACTATTTTCTTGGTTTGCTGGTTATTGTTTGGGTTCTATTTTTGGTGACTTGCAGCTCTTCAATGGGCTTTAGAGAAGAAAAGCTACCATAGATTTAAAATATTTTGAAAGAACGCATTTGAAAATAAAATTCGCAAATTTTATTTAGTTTGGCAATAGAAAATTCTATTTACTAAATCTTGGCCAATCTAGGTTTGGCTTATCGTATTTTCAAGTTCATCAAAAGTCTCACTATATTAAATATAAAATGTTCAGCATACCTCTAAAAGTTAACATAAAATATAAATTTGCAAGCTGGAAGAATTTGGGAACTAGTCAAAATCATGAATTTGAGGCGACAATGACAGTGTAATTTCATCCATATTTTATACTTTATATGACATCCATATAGATTTGTGTGGGGTTGTGTTTTATTACAGGTTTTGTAGATTAAGTGAAAACAACAACAATACATAGATCTCTGTGTAGCACTTTTAGGGTGAAGGAGTGTGTCTAGAAACTTTCCTTTTTTACAAAAGAGGTAAGGCACCATTTCTTCATTCATTTTCGTGGGTAATTATAACCAGCTGACCCACTTTTTTTTCATTGCCACGCAATTTATGAAGGCCACATTCAGACTGCAGGGCAGTGCTCTTCGCCTACCTAAAAACTGGTGGACTTGTTCCGATTTCAGCCTTTTATTAAATGCTCTGAAGTTATTTCAATACTTCTTTGCTGAATGACTCACTTCTTGAATGTGAAGTAGATTTGGATTCACATTTATGAGGAAGTGTCCTTTAATGAACATTTCTTCCCAACCGGCCATTTCAATCTATTTATTTAACGACATACTGTCCGACAGCTGGTAAATGTGAAAAAGAAACGCCTGGTCTTCCTGTCCTGCGGTTATTTCTTAGGCTGTTCGAGAAGCAAGTTAAAAGTGCTAGAGGAAGACGCTTCCCTTTTTCGTGAAGGGATGATGCTTTGGGAACCCAAGGCTATTTGGAGCCCCAGGGGACGAAAATGTATGGAACAGTTGTCTGTTACACAAATTTAACACGTTGGATTCACGTCTTTGAATATGCATGGTGGATTTTATCGGTAGCATTCGAGTATCCAGCCTTCTGGACAATAAGTTCTAAGTATTGATTGGGGTGAAAATACGGAGAATTTCTGTGTTGTTCTCAGTTAATTCAGTGATGAGGGGTACTTTTAATACCCTTTTATTTGGACTTTCATGGAGGAAGTCAGTGATTATGGTATGAGGAATAATAAATGAATGAATTTGTCAGAAGCATCTCAGTGGACACAGCGTAAGTGTTCACAATATGCTTTCTGATGAGCACATTCTCCCTTTCCCTTCCTCCACCAGCTCGTTTTCCACATCCATCAGTATAACACTGTTGGGAATATATTACTTAAAAAAATGAAGACCTAGTCCACAGGGGGAAAAGGGCAGCTCCTCAGTTACCTGATCTTATTGTGGGCTCCTGAGACCCATCTCCACACAGAGCAGGGTCATCCAGACCAGATTCTTCTTGCCTATAGTTCATTTAAGGGCACACTCTCCTAGTGGTGAAGGTTTATACCATTGTGTGTAAGCTGATCCTTAATGGCCACCTCCTTGTTCTCTAAGCTTTTAGTCCCTCGGGAACCCCCAGACTGAACCTAGAGCAGAGGCCAGTGACTCTTGTTAAATAAAAGAACTCCTCCCTGGGATATCTTATTATCCGTTTTCCCAATCCCCGCAGTGGGTAGACCGTTCCCAGGAAAACTCAAGGGGCAAAGCTTACATTTCCTCTTGAGTTGCTAAGGTTCCACTTGTCCTTTCTCTGTCCCCAGGCCAGCATCACCACAAGGAGTGGAAGAATGCATCTCATGGAATTTTGCTTTATAGTACTGTCTTGTGCTGTGAACTCCAACCTTTTTGTTCTTTTCCCCAGGTGATCCCCGATATTGCCTGTGGGAATGCCAGTTCCAACAGCTCTGCGGGTGGCCGGCTGGTGTCCTTTGAAGTGCCACAGAACGCCTCAGTCAAGTAAGAAAATTCTCAGCGGAAAAACTGTTAAGACTGACACTGGCTGTGAGGCCGTGTCTCTCCATGTGACTGGTCTGTGAGAATTATACATGGAGATTCATGTGTAGACGTGCTCAATGTCCCTCAAAACCTCGAGGTGCTGTTTATTACAGGGAAGACGGTAGAGTGAGTTATCCACTGGGAGACACAGACTGTGGAATTGGTCTGGATGAGTCAGGTGTGAGAAGAGAAACCCCAAGGCCTTAGATAAGGTTCATGGCCAGACTCTTCACTTCACAGATGATTTTCGCTTCCAAAATTCTTTGGCCTTTTAAGATTTTTATAGACGATTGGTTCAATTCGTATGCATAATTTACTCCAAATTTAAAATCTAAACATTATAGCTGAAACCGGTTTGGCTCAGTGGACAGAACATTGGCCTGCGGAGTGAAAGGTCCCAGGTTCAATTCCGGTCAGGGGCATGTACCTTGGTTGCGGGCACATCCCCAGTAGGGAGGCAGCTGATCGATGATTCTCTCTCATCGATATTTCTAACTTTCTATCCATCTCTCTTCCTCTCTGTAAAAAAATCAATTAAAAATATTTAAAAAAATATAAACATTATAATATTCTCTTTAAAAACAAACACCCCAGAAGAGAGCATCTTGTTTTGTTTTAAACTTGAGCTCTTTCTGATTACGTGCTGCCCACTGTCACTGGTGGGGGGGCGGGGACCAGCGTGGCTGAATACCTGCAGTGTGCCAGATGCTGTGCTTGCTGGGGGTTAACCAGGTTAGAGCGTCGCGTCCTGGCTGACAATTCCTGCTCCCTGACTTTCTCTGTTGCTATTAACTACCACCCCTCTCTACCTCACCACCCCCATGCAACCAATGAGCCTTTGCTGTCCAGTCTCCAGGGACTTTAGAAGCGGGAGGGACCATGGCCCTGTAACCAGCGTGCTGCATTGGCTCCCTTTTAAGGAAGTAGCGCGCATGCTCACCTTTTCCATTTACCCAGGGCTGCTTTGCTCACCTTACCTTCTCTACAGTAGTCCCTGAGAACTGCTTGGAAGAGGGGCTTTGTTACATTGCCCTGCACACACACACACACACACACACACACACACACACACACACACACACACACACACACCAGCCTTGACTTAGTCTGGTCCGGAGGGAGAGGGGAAGAGCCAGGGAAGGGCTGTGGACTCTGGGCACCCGAAGTCCCCTGAGCGGGGAAAGGTGTGGCGTCTGAGGCAGCTTTGAGTTCTACCAGCAGGGGGACCCCCGTCCTAAGTGTTTCATTGCTTTTAATACAGAGGAAACCCTCATGGGCCTGAGCTGGTTTTAGGGAAATAAGGTTCATTAATTTATGAAACCATCTCTAACAACGTTTTTCAACCTTTTTAATCTTTCGGCACATATAAACTAATTACTAACAATCTTCAGCACACCAACAAATTATATATATATTTTTTGTCAATTGGACAAAAAAATAAAAAAGGTATAATTTTGATTCACTCACACTGGATGGCTATTGTGTTGACTGTTGTCACTCTTTTACTTGACAATCTAAGGGAAAAGAGGTCAGTGCCCCTGACTAAATAGTCAGGTATTGCATTTTTCAAAACCTCTTGCAGCATGCTGGTTGAAAACCGCTGGTCTAGGTCATATTATCCTACTTTCATAAACCTTTTTGATTAGTTCTAATTTTCTCTCCCTTTAAATGCTTCTCCTCCTCCCCTTCAACAAACTAAGACTCTCTTAGGCTGCAGAGCTGGGCAGAATAGCAGAATCTGACCCAGGCTGACTGGTCTCGGCGCCCTGAATGCTCTTATGAGACCTTGCACTTGGCGTTACTCATGACTTCAGTCATTAGTCAGCCCTTTCCTGAGCACTCTGCTGCGGGCCCAGGCTCTGTGTTGGGAAGGGGCAGCTCTTCTCCCCCAGGGAGAAACCCAAGGAAGGAAAAGTGGCGGGAAGGTGGTCAGAGAAGGTCTCAGAGAAGAGGGGATGTGGGGGCTAAGCCTTGAAGATGACTCACCTCCCAGGTGGAGGAGGTGAAGACTGGGTGGGGGGCCAGAACCTTCTTTGGGGAAGAGACAGTAGTCCTGTTGTCCGATCCCTGGGTTGCAAGGAAGGAGGTGATGGATTTGAGAGGAAAAATGAGGCTGAGGTTGATTAGTATCCGTGGCATCTCATTCTTTGGGTTTTATCCTGAAAACAAGAAAAAGCCAGGGAAGATGTGAAGCATGTGAAGTACACACTTTTGCTCATTTTGATGGTACGCCTCATGTGGCTGTTGGGGACGCATTACACCTTTGAAATAAATTCCAGCAGGAACCTTAATGTTGTGTGGGAATGGAAGGCGTTGTCTCTAAAAAGAACTCAATATACCTCTTTATTATTGATGAAAACTGTGCCCCAAAGGTGTTATCTGTTAGTGATTTTGTGGTCTATTTTTGATCAAGCAGGAGACAGACATTTCTAACAGCGTGGGGAAATGACAGCCATGGGTAGGCTCAAAGTGGGAGCTTGTTTATAAGATCATTCCATCCATTTCCCCATACCTCTGTGGATGCACACGTCGTTTCTATGTTTATTTTTAATTTGATGAACTGTTTCTATGGTGAATTTTTCTGGATGGGACTTCCCATTTACACCCCTCTTGTTTTCAGAATTCGGCAAGATGCTACTGCCTCGCTGATTTTGCTGTGGAAGGTCACGGCCACGGGGTTTCAGCAGTGCTCCCTCATAGACGGCCGGAGCGTGACACTCCTCCAGGCTCCCGGGGGCCTGGTCCTCTTGGAAGAGATGCTTGCCTTGGGGCCCAACCACTTCATCGGTGAGTTATGGAAATCTCCCACCCAACATCATGCCTGTTTGGTGTGTAGAGACTGTGTGTAAGGAATTTTCCAGGGTAATCTGTATTCTAGCCATCAACACTGTTCCTTTCATTGTAGGTGAGGTTCCGCTTCTAATCAAAATTGCTTTTGAAGGTAATATTTCCAAGGTGGCTCAATGTGGGGGGTTCTGGGACTATATCCCAGCCCTGGCCAAAGTGTCTCAGGGGTGTGACCCTACGTGCTCAGTGCTCCAAATATCAGATTCTGATTCCCAGTTCTTCGTTGGCTTTCTCCAAGGATCGTGGGCAACTGGAGGCATTGAGTTCATTTGCTAACAGCAAATTTCATGGGGGAAATGTATCTTTGAAATGTGTTGTTCCTTAAGGGAAAATTTTTAAAAATGTACTTTGCTATAGTAATAATATATGATGTGTTAATCACTAAATTACACTACATTCTCAAAAATTACACTTTAGGTTAGGATGCGAAGACAATGATTCTGAGTAACAACCTTTATTTCTCTAACCCATTATTTTCCATTTTGCAAGTTTGTGATCTGGTACCTTTTCCACTTCTCTACCCAGAGCTTTCTGAGTGTTTGATGTGGCTTGGATGGAGCTCACAGTCTGTAGTGTGAGTCTCTTTAAAGGTAGCAGACAGTGTGCACAGCTCCTTCCGAGGCAGAGCGGCCAGGTTTCTCACAATGGCAAATTGCCCCACACCCACACGGGTCCAGCTGCTGCTTCTTACAGAATCTTTTCATCTTAAAGAAACAAGATTTATCTTTTGTAATCATTGTGGAAGCCCTGTGCTCACTGCATTGACATGTGTTTAATGCTCTTTCTGTTTAACTTTTTTTAAATTTTAAATTTTTTATTTTTATTTTATAAAGCAGCTTCTTAAAATAATTCATTTTTACAACACGGGGCTCTGTAACATGAATACATTTTAGTGAAGAACTAAAAGACTACTTTGAAGAGGACAAAGGCATTCATCTGACAGATGAACAAATCGATGCAAGGGCAGGTGGGAGAAAGCTTCCACGCCACAGGGAATGCCCCAGCATTGTGTTGCTGTGTTCAGTCACTACTGCTCCTTTTTGGGAATAACTGTGAACTCACTTTCAGGAACAACTCTCCCCAACGCCTTACTGTCAATAGATTCCATGTACATACCTGAAGACCAAAGTATTTTAAAGTTTCTGTGCAACAGAGCAAAAGAGTAGCTTCTTTTTTCTGTGCCTCAGTCATCCATGTCAACTCTTCTGCTGTCTCCTTAATTTGTCCTTCTTTTTCCTAAATCGGTCTCTTCCAGATATGTCATTTGCTCTATGCAGTGTTTTGGGGTAAATAAGGAAATTAATCTTTGTTTAGCATTGTCTGCTCCATGGGTGGCATCCTAGGTGTTTGTTAGCTCCCTGAGTGACTCAGTGGTTTAACAGTTTGTATTTTCAAACAGGAAAGATTCATTGTCCTGGTGCCTTTCCATGAAACATAGCTGTAGCCTGATGTCTTGGTAAAGTAAATTTTTAAAAATTCTGTGGTTGCTTGGGAGCACTGCTATGATAGATGATCTTGGGGGGTGAAGAAAAAACCAGCCCTCTGGTGTGTGGCCTCTGTGTTAGAAGCTGTTGGAGGTCCCCATTTCCTTGGGGTGAAGGCTCCATTGGAGTCCTCCAGATCTTATTTCATTTTGTCACCTGCCCTTAGGCATATTTTCCCTCACATCTACCTGGTGCACCTCTGCTCTGTCACCTGCTGCCTGTCCCATCCCAACCTGGACCCTCACCCTGCCTCACTCCATCCTTCCCATGCCTTTGACCCCCAAATTGATTCCTCTTCAACACGTCAGTGAACTCTCTGCATTTGGAGTGGTTTTTGAGGAAAATTGCCAGCCAAAGATGCTACCTTACATGGATTCTCAGCTATCCTTAAACTCATATAAGTTTTTATAAAAACACGCAGATGACCCCAGAACATTCTCATGGCTGGTTCCCCATTCCATCAGCAAACCCAAGTGGGGATGTCTGCTTTACCCACACTGCCCACCTACCTACTTGTTCAGAAATGCTCCACTTTCCCTTCACACTTTACTCTTTTATGGTCCGTATTGGTTGCCACCTCAGTCTGATATTTTATCTCTTTCCTTTTCTTTGAAATGGTTTTTACTGTGATCCGGCCTGTTCCTCTCTCCCTCAATTTTTCATGGTCTAGCTGCTCATAACTGTCTGTTTCTCTTCCCTTATCCTGTTCTCTTGCTCACAACCCACTGTTTTATCTTACTTTAATGTACCATTTTTTTCTCTTATAGTTTTTAGTACACTTTTATGTCTCATTTATATTGTAAAAGTAAGTGCATTTTTATGTGTAGTCCAGACCAGTTGCTTCATTTAAGACCCACTAAAACGGCTCTTAATACCTTAGATCGAAAGAGTGAGTGGTGTAACCCACAGCCCACATGGACGTCCTTTAGGACCTGGGATCACTTCTCAGGATCATAGCTTTTAAATTAGCCACTGACCTAGTCCAGGAATCAGTGACCTAGTCCAGGTCTTTGTATCTGTCTTACCTGGATTAGAGATGTTCCTAGTCTGTGCATGCCTCTTGGATGCCTCCAGGGAGCTGCTGAGCGCTTGAAATTTCCTTGATTCTAAGTTGTTAGTTTAAAAAGATTCTTGTCATGCAAAATAGTTTATAAGCAGTGCATTCTCTTTATTTTCTTCTCTTAAGAAGCAGGGAAGAATAAGACGGTACTTCAGCAGGTAGGTACAATGAAGGGAAGAGTTTCCTTTCCTTGAGGTAATAAGACTGAGCTGGTGTGGATCTATCTTCATGACACCCCCAGGACCTCTGCTTTGGACCACGGCCAGCTTTTGCATACTGACGCCAGCCTGGAGTGGGGCCACCTTGTCCCTGCCTCTGAACCTGGTGGTCAGGATTGCTGGTCACCCTTCCTAGATGCTCACCCAACCTTGGCCCTGCACGTTTCCTGTTTGTTCTTCTCTGCATGGCTGGCATCATTTCCCCCAGCTCTGGCTCCTTCACCTTCTTCCAAGTCTTCTATAAACCTTTGCTTTACCAGCTGTGTAAGCTACACTTCTCCCTGATAACCCATTTTCAGCCAGGATCACACAACTTAGCATCCGAATGTTCCCTATGTTCTTTTATTTATTTATTTGGTGTGCTGATTTTTCAACTTTAATTAAACTGAAAGATTTGAGAGTAGTGACCATATCACAGGTTCTTGTTCCATGATGGCCACATGATAGTTACCCAAGTAATTAAATTCTGTTCATAAGTAACGGTTACCTGCTCAGTAAATGCCATGTGAAGAAAATTGCCAGCTGCAAATGTCAATCTTTAGAATTCTTTGTAGAGTTTCACAACCCACCTCTGTGACATTTAAACTTTCTTCCCATTTATTACATTAAAAGTATTTTAGAGGGTCAAATTAAAAAAAAAGACAAAAAAGAAAAAAAGGAAAGAAAGTTTTCATCATTCTTTTGGGAATGCTACATTTTGCATTTTGTCCTTTAAGATATCTTACTCAGAGGTCAGGGGTAAAATAGTCAAAGAAAGTTTGGAATTGCTACCAGCTATAGAAATATTAACATCTTTGCCAAAAGCTTAAGCTTGAACAAAAAATGCAAATATTTCACCTTTGCTGATCATCTTAAAACCACAGTTGAATATGGGATATTGAACTCCTTACAACAGAGGAAACAAGACTTGGAAATGTTCAAATAAAAAGTAATAGTTGGGAGAGAACAAAAGCCGAGGAAGGATAAGGCTGCCCTGAACAGCATAATGTACCGTATTTTCCAGCGTATAAGATGAGCCTCTAATTTTACAGTTAAAACATAGGTTTAGGCCTATATTTGCTGTATAAGACTACCGCCCACTTCCGAGGCAACACCAGGTTTTTTTTTTTTTTTTAATAGACCGCCTCTCTGACTCTGGCCAATCTGAGCAGGCTTTTTTTCATTTCAAAAGTTGTCTTATATGCCGGAAAATACGGTAGATAACACTCTTATAGCTCACATTTCCCTAGTAGGAAGATTTCTATTAAATTAAATTTTACTTAAATTGAAACCACATTTCTATATTATTAGCAATCAGAATCATTCTTCTTGGGATCTTTTATTAATGGTAATGTATATTAGAATTTTAAAGTTAGTTTGCCTTGAACTTCACAATTTTGCTCCTGACTTTCTAAATATTGTCATTGTCAGCATCACTTATTTATTGGTTCCTATTAATTGTGGTGATAAATTAAGCATTGATAAGAAAAATGGATTCCAATACAGACACACATGGTCCCAATAGTTGACAGTCTAAACTGAGCGGGGTCTCACTGAGTGTTGGTTGCTCAGGCTGCGATGGAGTTGGGGCAGATGATCCAAGATGAATGAAACGTTTCTCCTACCCTTCAAGATAGTCCTTGGAATTAGGCTTCGTAGAAAGGCGGGTTGCTGGTCTATCAGATCCAGCAAATCTTTTACAAGCTACTCAGTTCATTCTTTCACACACCATAATTTGTGCAAATCCTAGGAACAAATAATCAATAATATTTGTCAATTAGTTCTTTAGAAGTAAAGGACAACCCCTTTAGAGTAAAATTAGTCGGCATCCATATGTGTAAGTTACTAAAGTGCTTCTATAGACTTGGGCACCAGTTTCATAATTAAAGAGAATGAAAGGTGGCAGGCAGTTCTCCCAGAAATTGTGCCTGATTCATTGGTTGGAGGGGTTTGCTTGGTTTTGAGAAGCAAACTCCAGGTATGTCTTTATAATTATAAGTTCTCCTCTCTCCCTCCCCATTCTGCCTCATTTTCTTTTTCTCTTCATCTCCACTCTTTATTTAAAAAATAAAGATGGCACATTTTGCTTATAGATGGATATGTAAAAATGAAATAAAGAAAATTATTTTGATATTTAAAATAATTTAGTTAACTGTTTTTGTGTTTGTTTGTTTTTTAATGTGTTCTTATTGATTTCAG